AGAAACTTAGTGAAGAAAGGAAAACTTACGGAATGGGCAGCCTTAAGGTGTTCACCTACTTCCGCTGGGTTGTAGGGACGAGAGTAGACTTGACAGACGAGACGGCGAGCATGGCTGATTGAATCCAGAAGTTCTTGCGGTTCGGTGACCAATCCTTAAAACGAAACGTAATTACCCGTAGCTAACAACCTGTTTTACTTTAGTAACTAGATACACGAGAAGAAAGCTAGTCAAGCAGTCCGGGGTGTTGGAACTGATGAAGGGCCATTAAGGTACGCAGTGAGAAACTTAGGAGGCGGTGTAGATTACAAAACAAATGCCTTTAGGAGCCCGAGGTCGTTGGCGAAACAGTCAACACGAGAAAAGAAGTCATAGTCTACACAACCGTGGTCAGGAAAATGCATTAACTGCTGTAATCTTTATTTAATAAGCGGCAGCGCAATCAATAACTGGATATTCGACAACTCACCCATTTCATTAAAAGCTCTATTTTTAGGTGTTCGTCTCATCTAATTGATCAAAAATTTCGCGATAAACGACACCGTTGGAAGAGATGGTGACCAAGTACGTGGACATTACAGCGGTCCACATGACAACAGTCACTTGATTACTTTGTTATTCCCCTTCTTCAGTAAGTAGCATTTAGCAATTGCCTGCTCAAGGGTATGCAATGGCGACATTTCGTGACTCACGCGACTACATACACATATGAAGGGTAGTCAATTACAGACAAAAGTAGGACTTGAATATTAACAGGATCGAAAGTAGCCTTAAAAGTATGTTCATTCAGGCTCTCGAGAGGGATTTTATTACATGAGACAGGATTTTTAAATGTAGGAAAATAAGGAGTTTGGGGTCGCGACAGCGTTACTGGCATGTTTGATGGTGGAGAACTCCATCATTATTAAACACTTACGACAGTAATAGGCTGATATAGTTATCTTCTCACGAAACCAATTCAGACGTCCGCGCAAGTTAACAGTGCTGCCGAGTCGGAGAGAAGGGTCTTCGCACTCCGACC